TGGGTGACAGAGTGAGACTCCAACTGAAAAAAAAAAAAAAAAGAAGTGGCCACTCCTGCCAGCTGCTCCATCCTCCCTGTCACACAGCAGCCTGAGGACCCCCGGTGTCTCCACCAGGAAAACACCCTTTCTGGGATCCCTGATAACCCAGTACCAGGCCCGGCTCCCAGCCGCCCTCGCCCTGTCCCAGCCCTCGGGCAAGCCTCAGCTCCCGCAAGAGGCCTCCCACTCACAGCCCATCCACAGGACTCACTGACCTTCGGGATTTGATGTGTTCTGACCAAGGCCAGCCTTTACTGGAGCTCGCCACACTTTGCTGCCCACAGCTGTCTTCCCCTTGGGTGCCAGGAACTCCACCATCTGACTCCACCCTCCGAGACACATTTCTCTCCCTGACTGTCATTTTCTAAGTCAGAGGTGGCACCTTAGGGTGGAGCGGTGGGGCAGAGGCAGCCTCTGTGGCCAGGTGCCAGGGGGCCAGGAGGTGACCCTGAGAGGGAAGGACACAGCAATGGTGGACTTGAAGCGGCCTTGTGAGCAAACCTGGTCCGTGTCACAGGTCTGCTCAGAGACGGCCCCTAATGTGATCATTTTATCTTATTTTATTTTACTTTATTTTATTTTTGAGTCAGCGTCTCACTCTGTCACCTAGGCTGGAATGCAGTGGCATGCTCACAGCCACCGCAGCCTCGACCTGCGGGGCTCAGGCAATCCTTTCACCTCAGTCTTCCCAGCAGCCAGAACTACAGGTGTGTGCCACCATGCCCGACTAATCTTTTTGATTTATTGTAGAGATGAGGTCTCATCAAGTTGCCCAGACTGGTCTCAAACCCCTGGGTTCAGGCAATCCTCTTGCCTCTGCCTCCTAAAGTGCTGGGATTACAGGTGTGAGCCTGTACCTGGCTGTTCACACTTTTTTTTTTTTTTTTTTTTTTTGAGTCAGAGTCTCACCCCGTTGCCCAGGCTAGAGTGTAATGGCAAGCTCATGGCCACCCCAGTGTCAACCTGCTGGGCTCCGGTAATCCTTCCACCTCAACCTCCCAAGTAACTGGAACTATAGGCTTGCGCTACCATACCTGGCTAAATTTTGATTTAATGTAGAGACAAGATCTCACCAAGTTGCCCGGGCTGGTCTCGAACCCACGGTCTCAGGCAATCCATTTGCCTCTGCCTTCCAAAGTGCTGGGATGACAGGCGTGAGCCACTGCACCTGGCTGTCCACTCATTTTTTTAAAAATGTACTGAGTGTCTGTGGCCAAGGTCGGGGGCTGCAGCTGAGAATCAAACAGAGACCCTTGCCCTCCTGGGGCTCACACCACAGCCCTGCTCCGGAAATCGAGTCACAATCCCTGAGGCGGGGACGGTGGGGAAGGGCTGTCTGTCCCCACTCAGACCTACTCCACAAGGTCCAGTTCAATGAGTCCCTCTCCCACCAACGACAGCTGGGGGTGGGGGAGCGGGGAGTCACCCAAGACGGGGGCAGCTGCCTTTCCCAACTCTCCCCGCTGAAACAGAAAGACCGGTGGGTTGGCACAGGGGGCCTGGGCTCAGATTCCAACTCTTCCATCAACTGGTCGTGGGTCTCCAGGAAAGACACGCACTACCCCTCTCTGGTCTTCATTCTTTCAGCACAGAGAGGAGCCGAATGAGACGGCCTCTGGGACCCCTTGGGCTCCCCTCACGACCAGCCTCTTCCTCCAGCTCCAGCCCCTGCCAGCTGCCACAGAGATGCCTCGCCTCCCACACCACCCTCCCCCCCTCCTTCCCTCAGAGTCCTTACGTGGGTGGCCCACGCCCCAGCCTGTGTCCCAGCCCTGCGTTGGCCCCATCTGTCACAGCTCCAACCGCACAGGCTGAGACCAGAGCCGCCTCTGTCCTCTCTGGGTGAGAGGCACACTGCAGGGGACAGGGGGCCTGTGAAGTCCCCTTCCACACCCACCACAGCCAAGCCCACTCCCACGGCCTCCCGGGATTGGGCTGCAGAGAAACCAGCCATGGCGCCCAGGGTCCAGTGGGGGGGAAGCTGGACCCTGCCTCCCACAGATCCCATGGGCCCAGACTGGCTTTAACAGTTCTCTGCTCACACTCTTATGAGATTCAAACTTCAGAAAAATAAAAAATGGGGACATAAAGTTCTCGAAAGGTAGAGGTTTGGGATCCTTACAGTAAGCTTCTTGGGAAATCTCCAGCGTCCAGGGGGATACAACGGACTTGGTGTGAAGGTGACAGTGAGAACTTTTGCATTTGCAAGGTTCTGCCCCATGAGAGCCGTTGCTTTGTTAAGATGTAAAAAGGAGCTTTCTCCTCCTCTTTTGTAAAGGGAGCTTCCAACATCTGTTTGAAATTCCAAGGGTGCTGCTCTCTGCTCAGAGCTCAGCTGGGTTGTGTATGCTGACGCTCCAGGTGCTGACGCTCCAGCTCACATAATGCAGCGCCTGGCCCGATGCTAATAATGTCCCGTTCTTGCCTACAAAGAACAAGAAGGCACCATCCTTTAAGGCCCTGAGGGAGCTGCGGGCTCCCCCTGAGGTCAACAGGCCGAGAGAAGCCGCTTACCCTCTCTTGACAGAGAAGTGTCATGTCCATCTCCTCTACCCTCACCACTGCTCCCAGCCGACCCTCCGCCTGGGGTCCCCCCTCTCCCTGTGATGAGGTGAGGTCATTAGAGCACCAAAAATTCAAAATAAAAAGAACAAATAGTGTCCCTTACAAAAGAACTTTTGTCATTCATTACATTTCTTATGATTAAAAAAAATTCTTGTTGATTGTAGAAGATTCAGAAAACTACAGACAAAGGAAGAGTGGAAATCACCCACAACCCCATCAAGCTCAGGAGAGAACTTTAGCAGGATGTGTATTTTGACATTGAACTTGGGACTTTTTCCATCCTTGTCCCCATCCTCCGGCTCCACACCCCCACCATTCAAGCACCGGGAAAAGCTGTCTAAGCTGCCTTGGGCCATGGATGAGAAACACAAGTCCTTGGCCCCGGATTTGAACTTTTAAAAATGTATAGCAGACTATACATTGACTCAATTACAAAACTCAGCTCTCTGAGAGAAAGGGTGTTTTATGTTTTTTTGATTTGGGGGATTTTTTTTTTTTTTGAGTTGGAGTCTTACTCTGTCGCCCAGGCTAGAATACAGTGGCACGCTCATGGCCACTGCAGACTTGACCTGCTGGGCTTAGGCAATCCTTCTGCCTCAGCCTTCCAAGTAGCTGGAACTACGGATGTACTCCACCATGCCTGGCTAATTGTTTTATTTTTGTAGAGACGAGGTCTCACCAAGTTGCGCAGGCTGGTCTCGAACCCCTAGGCTCAGGCAATCCTTGGCCTCCCAGAGTACTGGGATTACAGGCGTGAGCCACTGTGCCTGGTTTGTATGTTTTAAGAAAATAAAAATAAGCCAGGTGCAGTGACTCACACCTGTAATCCCAGCAGTTTGGGAGGCAGAGGCGAGAGGATCACCTGAGCCCAAGGATTTGAGACCAGCCTGGGCAACTTGGTGAGACCTCGTCTCTACAAAAAAAAATAAAATAAAAAAAAGCCCGGACATGGTTGCACACACCTGTGGCTCCAGCTACGTGGAAGGCTGAGGTGAAAGGATTGCCTGAGCCCAGGAGGTCAAGGCTGCGGTGACCATCAGCGTGCCACTGCATTCCAGCCTGGGCGACAGAGTGAGACTCCGACTCAAAACAAAAAAAGAAAAGAAAAATACAAAAGCTTGATTGGGAAGATGAAGAGCAAAATCTTGAAGGAGGAAAGGCATTAAGACTTTGCCCCCCAAAACAAGAGTGGGAACAAGTGCCCGATAATGGCAGGGGGCTTCACTTAGAAGATCAAGAGTTGACTGGCAGGTGGGAGGAAAGAATTGACAGGATGTGGCTACACTTGAGACTCAGAGGGTCCCTGAGAAGTGGCCAACATCCCGTGGCCCTGGCAGAGGGAAGAGAAACCTGAGAAGGGAGGGGTTACAGCCCAGGAGGGAGGGACTTGTTCTTAGAGGGCGGAGCCTGGGCGGCAGCCCGAGGACTGCCTCAGAGAGGGCCACCAGCATTATGTGTTTGCAGAGGGGCATCCCATGAGGCTGTCAGAATCGGTCTTGGACAAGGTGGTGGTCCACAAGAGCCCACGGTTGGGGTCAGAGTGGTGACAAATTTCGTGGATCTTGAGATGAGCGGAAAGCGGCGCATGTAGCAATGTTGGCACAAGAAGATGGCAATCAGGCAAGCCACAGGATGATCCAGTGGAGACAGGGGGGACCGGGGAGAGCTCAGTCCCCGATATTGGTCCTCATGATGCAATCGGTCCGTCGTTCCCAGGGAAAAGACAGCAGATTCAGTGGCTGGTCAGCCAAGAGAGGCTGAGTGTTAAGAAGGGACTGAGTTACTTTTGGATGAAAGTTGCCGGGCGCGGTGGCTCAAGTCTGTCATCCTAGCACTTTGGGAGGCCGAGGCGATTGGATGACCTGAGCCCACAGGTTCGAGACCCGCCCAGGCAACTTGGCGAGACCTTGTCTCTACAATAAATCAAAAATGAGCCAGGTGTGATAGCGCACACCTGTAGTTCCAACTACTTGGAAGGCTGAGGCGGAAGGATCGCCGGAGCCCAGCAGGTCACCGTTGGGGTGGCCGTGAGCTTGCGTGCCACTGCACTCCAGCCTGGGCGAAGTAATGAGACTCTAATTCAAAAAAAAAA